CCACTCTTACAGTTAGGAAGTTTCTCCTGATATTTAGCCGGTATCGACTCCCTTGTAATTTCCACCTATTAGATCTAGTCTTGCAATCCGGAGCAAGAGAGAATAGATCTGCTCCATCTTCTACATGACAGCCCTTCAAATACTTGAAGACTGCAATCATGTCCCCTCTAAGCCTTCTCTTTCCCAGGCTAAACATACCCAACTCTTTCAGCCTTTCCTCGTAAGACTTGGATTCCAACCCTCTCACCATCCTGGTTGCCCTCTTCTGGACACGCTCGAGCTTGTCAACATCCTTCCTAAAATGTGGTGCCCAAAATTGGACACAGGACTCCAGGTGAGGCCTGACCATAGCGGAATAGAGCGGAACTACCACCTCCCGTGATCTGGACACAATGCTTCTGTTAATGCATCCTAAGATTGCATTAGCTTTCTTTGCAGTCACATCGCACTGCAGGCTCATGTTTAGCTCGTGATCAACCAGAACACCTAGATCCCTTTCACATGTGCTGCTGTCAAGCCAAGTCCCTCCCATTCTATATCTGTGCTTCAAAGGGAAAGTCCAGCGAGAAGCACCAACTTGGAATTCATATACAGTTTTTAAGATTTATCAAGTTGGGCTCAGTAATGTAAATGGCAAATTCAAAAGTCCACTCAGTACACCAATGGTACTTCAGGTGAATAGAATCCTCTGTTCCTGAAGACTTAAAAATCCTGTTCCTATAGCAGCTCTACTAGTTTAGTTCCAATGGTGCATTGAGTGGACTTTTGAATTTGCCATTTACATTACTGAGCCCAACTTGATAAATCTTAAAAACTGTATATGAATTCCAAGTTGGTGCTTCTCGCTGGACTTTCCCTTTGAAGCACAGATATAGAATGGGAGGGACTTGGCTTGACAGTGCTGATTATGCGAATAATTTGTAAGCGTTACATTTAGTATTTCTGGAGGCTTAACTGTATGGAGGATTTTTCCTTTTTTTGCATTCACTTCATCCATCTGTCTCACTTTTATTCCCACCTGGAGGTTGGCGCCCCGAGTTGGCTGCCGCCATGCACAGTACAGGGTGCTTATGAAGCAGAACGGGGACGCCAAAGCTGCAGAAGCAATTGTGGGTGCAAACTGGGAAGACCTGTTCATCCAGGGTCTAAGCCCGGAGGGCTCCTGTCAGGCCAGCAGTGGAACTGGCTGTCTTCTGCTTCTTTTTCCAGTTCTGCTGCTGCTGCGTCATCGTAGGTTTGCAGCTTACAGATACACACTTGAACAGCATACTCAAGATGGCA